TGGAAACTTTCAGATTCGGGTTTTCCCAGATGTGCCAATATGACATCTCTAATAAAATGGAACTCAAGCCTCGGAGTCTTCTTTCGTTGGGGGGTGAGTGGGTGTTACTTGGAATCCTGACACTTGGAAGTTTACCTTGGTCAACAGATGGTTCTGCTCCTTTAGCACAACAATGGCTTGCTGGTGAAATGGATTTTCTGGAGAGGAACAGGGAACCCCCCAATTTTTGAGTGGCACTTCAGTCTGCAAAGAAGAGGGTTGTGGGGGGGAAAAAACCACAATTTATGTGTGACTCATCGCCACGCTTGTCTCTAATATGAAGAAGTGCTATTTTGCTGGCCAAATTCTGACCACAAATATCTATTCAGGAGAAACCGCGACCCTATTCATCCATACATTTGCGAAACGTTCTAAGAACGTGGTACAATTAAAATGTCATTGAGACCCATCCAGAGTTGGCTGGAAAGATGGACAGCTTGGGACATTGCATGGGTCATAAATGCAAGGACCATTCATAAAGTTACTCATTCAGCGCCTTTGTAACTGCAAAGCCATCAAGACCTGGCTGTTCCGGCAGGCCTGGGGCTGATGAGTTCCCAGCCCCACTCGAATTGTTACGACTGTTGAGGAGCTTTTAATCTGTTTTTTGTATTTTGTTTTTTGCCTCGTTCGATTTCTTTGTATTGCCCCCCCTCCCTATTGGTTTGTTAGCCGCCCTGAGTCCCCCTGGGAATAGGGCGGCATACAAGTTTAATAAACTAACTAACTAACTAACTAACTACATAAGTCTAAGTATTATTGTTATTGTTAATACTTCTTCCTCCTTCTATTTTCCACAGAATAACAACCCTATGGGGTGAGCTGAGATCCTGTGACTGACCCAAAGTCACCCAGTCAGGTCCTTTTTCTATTTTAACTGCCAGGAGAATGGCTCAGGGTTGGAGCTGGGTCTGGCCACAAAATATGTGAGTGAAGTTTTGCTTTCCACACAGAAAGTCCTGTTACTAAAAGAGAAGGCAAGTTTCTACCCCAATTTCTTTCTTTAAAAAATTATTGTCCTGCAGTCAGTCATCTGATCTGGTTTGTTAGTCCAATAATGTGCCATGTAAATATATTCAGGTAACTGCATACTGAACAAATGCTGACATCCCCCCACTATTCAAGCTTCAGCTGTACAGTGCATTGCAATAAAAAGGAAACATTCCCCCAAAAGAAAGGAACCCTAAATGTGTGCTGAAATTGCCAGATGTCTTTCAATCAAGACTATAAGTAGTGCAGAAAAGCACAGGGTTCTTTATCCCATTTGCTAAAAGTATTCACAAAATATTTTCATTAAAAAACTAGTATTTTAATTCTACGGTATAGCTTATGTGCTACTATCTACAAATAGTCATTGACTTACAACCACAATAGAGTGCAACATTTCCATTGCTTAGCAAGGCAGTTGTTAAGTAAATTTTGCCCTATTTTACAACCTTTTTTGCCCCAGTTGTTAAGGGAGTCACTGCAGATGTTAAGTGAATCATGTGGCCATTAAGCAAATCTGGTTTCCCTTATTGACTTTGTTTATTGGAAGCTAGCTTTGAAGGTTACAAATGGTGATCATATTACCCAGAGATTGTGCAACTATCATAAATGTATGTCAGTTGACAAGCACCCACATTTTGATCAAGTGACTATGTAACATATGTAACATCATGATACTGTAACAGTTGTAAGTTTTGAAAAGCAGTCATAAGTCCCTTTTTTCAAAGACCATTGTAACTTTGTATGGTCATTAAAAGAATGTTTGTAAGTCAAGGACAACCTGTAGTTTGATTAATTTCATCGATGATGATGATGATGATGATGATGATGATGATGATGATCATCATCATCATCATCATCATCATCATCATCATCA